CCATCATACTACTTCAACAAATGATGTCCTCGAGTTCTTTAGTCCAGAAACAACGATGACCACTTTTTGTTCACCCTTGTGCTTGTTCAGTCCGTTAGTGTCTCTGTTTCTGCACACAACGTCACACTTCGCCGGTCAACTTATCATTCACCATTTTCGTACAGATCCACAACCATGCGCGCCAAAAGTCACGCTCACCTAATCCTGTAGACAAGGCAAAGTCGGCACGACAACACTCTCGCTACTCGTTGATCGTGCAACTTAGCTCCAGAATGTGGATTCTGTATCTGCAGGCATGAGATAATTTCACCGGTTCGGTCGATTGTACGTACAGTTCTCAAAGTCCAAGCCAATAGCTGCAACAGGATTAGATAATTCCGCACTGAACCGCCTGAAGAGAGGCTCCTTGTCTGGCTGTCAGGCTCAAGTCTCACATTCACGACCCCTCGCAACGAGAGTCTCTGTCGGTCGCAGCGCCAAGGTTCATTGCTGTCCTGAAGCCGTCATAGTGTGTCATCACGAAGCACTCTCAACTCTCAGATTGGCGTCTATCTAGTCAGCCACTTCATGGCCCTCCTGGCTGGGATGCAATCGGTGCTCGCAGCATTCTTCTCGGAACGATGCTACCGGAAGGTCGGCTTGCCTTCACAGTCTCTCTGCTGGCCTTTATCGGCCACACGAATGGCGCGATTCGGGTAACTAATGCCATCAGAGCATTATGCTCATTAATCTGTTGACTTCTTCCCTTTGTAACCTCATCATGCCAGCATTTTGTTTAACATTTCATTAATCGCCAGTTTATCGGAATCCTGGGCACCTATTATTCGACGCTAACCACAACGCTAGACGGAACTCCTTGCCAGGGTGTGTTTTCCCTGAACAAATACTGTCTACCGGTATTTACAATTTGTGAACTTGAGTCAAAGTAAGCACTGCCTGATGCCTTTTTTTACAATTAATGTACAACATATATTCCATTTATAATGAACTTTTATTTTTAAAATCATAAATATTTTGACAGAAATTATTTTACAATTTATTCACCTCATGTCGTTTAAGACTAGGAGTGCATTTCTGCCACATTAAAATGTGTGCATAAGCATTATTAGGTCTACAAATGTTATGGGTTGTGTGTGTTTGGTAGCTGATTTGTCCCACAATTATATGAGTTGAGCTAATTTTTGTCTATTGAAATTCACACAGCTGAAGGCCTCACATAGGC